TGCATTTTTTTTGGTAGCACTTTATCACAATCTCACATGCTATATATTTTACTTATGTATTGTCCTTATTTCCCCACTAAAAAGTGTCATGGAACAGACATGTAGTTTTGTTCACTGCTATATCCTTGGTACATAAAATCATGCCTGGGACATAGTGGTCATTTAGTAAATAAGTACTGAGTGAGTTAGTGAATTTTTCCCTCACTATTTAGTTACAAATCTAGGTTATAAATAATGTTCTCTCTGAACTTTCAAGGAATTGCTCTATCATCTTTTGGTATCTAGTGTTATTAACATGAAATGTAATGTCAATCTGACTTGTTTTCCTTTTATAGGTGACCTATTTATTAAGAGCTTTAATATTCTTGGATCTCTAGAAATTCCCAACAATGTAAAAAGATGTGGGGTTTTTTCCCCCCCCCACTGATTCTATTAGGCATTTCACTGATTCTATTAGGAAGTCCTTTCAATTAAGATTGTTGTTTTTCCAGCTCTGGGAAATTTTATTTTATTTAATTAATTAATTTATTTATTTATTATTAATTTTTGAGAGAGAAAGGGAGAAAGAGAGAGAAACATCCATGTGAGAGAAAAACATTGGTTGGTTGCCTCCTGTACATGCCCAACAGGGGATTGAACTAGCAACCTGGGTATATGCCCTGACCAGGAATTGAACCTACCACCTTTTGATGTATGGGACAAAACTCCAATCAACTGAGCCACACTGGCCAGGGTTAGGAAATTTTTTTTTTTTAAATCTTCTCTTGCTTTTTTTCTGTACTATTTATAACTCTTATTGGGTATCACATTTACTATATTCTTTTCCCTTGATGTTTCATTTTCCTTATTTTTCTCTATTTAATTTGACATCTCTTTAATGTAAATTTTGATATTTTTATTAATATTTAAACAGTGAAATCTGGCATACTATTTTCTTTGACTAAAATGAAAATACCAAGTAGTAGGGTAAAATAGGATAGATTGATTTAATATTTGTGTATTACCAATAATAATGAATGACAAAGGTGGCTTATCACAGCAGGAAAAGGAAGTATTCATCAGTAAATGATCACTGGTTTACTAGAAAAGGACTTAGTCTTATTTCTCATCAGGCATGATATATTTTAAATATTTTATAGTAAAAAAATATTACACACAAAATTTATGAGTAGGGATGTTCATCACAGTATTTATAATATGGGGTTGCCTAAATGTCTGATAGGACACTTTAATAAGTTGTATTAATATTATAAAAATGCTTGTAGACACAAAAAGCTATATTTTCAGAAGAATATTTAATGACATTGGAAATTATACATTATCTTATTAATTTATAAATATATATATTTGTATTTATATATTAATATAAATTTTTACACATAGATGTTTAAAGAGAAAGACAAGTGGAAAATATTGCTAATACAGGTCCATAATCGTCTCTATGAAACCCTTGGGCCCATGTGTATTTCTGAATTTCAGAATTTTTCAGGTTTTGAAACAGTAATATATGCATTTACATAATAGCATTTAGAGAAGTGATCCTAATCAAACATTAATATTTCTGTAGTGAGACATGTACTATTCACATTTATTTAGTAGGATACATAAAGTCTGTAGTTTCATGTCATCTGAGGACACATTTTGCTACTAAATTAGTTTGTGCCAAACTTAATTTAAAATTTTTCTATTTTTTTAACTTTGTATTTCAGAATTTTGTGCATTTTTGGATCAGTAGTACTTAATTTGAGCAATGAGATTTTGAATGATTTTTAAGATTTTGTTCATTATAATTTTTATATAGTTCTATATTTATAGGAACATGTATGTTTGTTACAGAAAACAATATTTTAGTAACAGATTTTTAAATTGTGACTGTATATACTTAATTGAAATAAATTTTTTTATTAAATCTTAGCCTTCCCTAGAGAAAGGAATAAAGGCCAAATTCACCAGAGGATACTCATTCGTTATTTAGCAAATACTTATCCAGTAATTATATTAGACAGTTAGACAGACATGAGCAGAGTTGGAAGATAGGCCAGGTACAAAAGGTCACCAGGTTGAAAAGCCTATAGTACCTAACATCCAGCAAAACTGGGAAATACAGATCTCACCCTTGGTCGACCTTTCCTACCTTTGCATATCACTGGTCATGCAATTTAGACTCCCTGATCTTTCATATCACTAATCATGCGTTCAGGCCCTCCCCTGACCTTTCCTCCTCTGACATGTCAATAGTCATGTGATAGACCCCCTTGGAGGAGGAACAAGGGACCTAGAGAATAGCCTCATATGACTCCCATACAAACCCTTGCACCACTACCCTCTTAAGCATTAAGCCCTCAAGACAATGAGATTCTGATCCACATCAGATAATCTTAGGAACAAAGCCCTGGGTCTGTTGACCGCATAGACAGTTTTGGTCAAATTAGAGATAACATCTAGGCCAGTGGTTCTCAACCTTCTGGCCCTTTAAATACAGTTCCTCATGTTGTGACCCCCAACCATAAAATTATTTTCCTTTCTACTTCATACCTAATTTTGCTACTGTTATGAATCGTAATGTAAATATCTGATATGCAAGATGGTCTTAGGCGACCCCTGTGTCGTTCGACCCCCAAATGGGTCGCCACCCACAGGTTGAGAACCGCTGATCTAGGCCTTACTTGTGTTTTAGCTCCAGGCCCAGAAAAGCAGTAAGGCCAGCTGAGATGACTGGCTGTGATGATTAATGACCCTCTGCCCTGGTACTCACCAATCAGTAGAGACCATGAAAGGATATACCTAGAAGAGCTGATGAATATTCTATTGAGATCTTCTACTGATACCTCCCCTAAGGTCCCTGCCTTTAAGGAGAGGATAAAAACCCTCAGGACTGAGGACCCAGTGCAAGTGCTGTCTAGCTCGCTAGCTCTAGAACCATTCATGCCTCTTCCTTCAGGTGTGTCTGTTTGCTTTCTTTCTCCTACGCTCCAAGGGCTCTTCTTTTGCCTCTGTAACTTTTTTCCTGAGCTGACTCAACTTCCTCCATAGCTCACTTCTGCCTCTGACTTTCTAAATAAACTGTTGTTTGTATTTGAGTCTTGGCTCCGAATTCTTTCTTAGCCAAAACTCAAGTGCCATGGTTGCTGAACTAAGGTCCAATCACTGGTAACATTCTGGTGCTGTTTCACCACCAACAGTAATTACTGTTTTAATAAATTAATACTTTAAACCACAATTTAATACCATTTCATACTCTTCTTACTGTCAGAAATTTAATAATTTTTTTAGTGACCAGAAGACTTTATTTTTAGTGAACACATAGCCAAATAGACACAGACTATGACTATAGCAGACTTCAGTATAGTATATACTTGATGAGAAATTTAATAATTTTGACAATTACAGTTGTTCACCAGGATGAAAGGAAGAAACAGAAAATTTTATACATCGCAGGTTCAGTATTAATTGATATCACCATTTTGGAAAGCAATTTTTTTAAAGATTTTTTTATTGATTTTTAGAGGGAGAAGACGGGAGGGGGAGAGAAAGAGAAATGTCAATGTGAGAAACATCAATTGGCTGCTGCTTGCACACCTCACACTAGGGATTGAGCCCAAATCTGGGCATGTGCCCTGATGGGGAATCGAACCAGAGACCTTGCATTGTGTGGGACGATGTCCAACCAACTGAGCCACACTGGCCAGGGCTATACTTTTATATTAAAATTTATGTAACCAAAATTAGGGGAGGTTGAGCTGTTATGATTAGTCTAATTTTGGTTATCTAAGGTATAATCAGTAGAACTTTGTATTGCTCTATTCTTTATTGTTTAAAATCTGCCTGATCTCTATCGCTACCTTTTCTTGCTTTAGTAAATAAATACTTGTTTTGTTTTTATTACTTGTCCATGAAAGAACCATGTCTAAACTATCCCAGTTTCTCACACAAGGAAGGTTGGGCATCAAATTATGTATACAGTGAATTCTTGTCAAACAATTCAGTTGTTGAAAATAATCTAATCTTTCTTTGTTTTGGATTTGGGATGCACTAAACTGATTTTTTTATTCTTATAAGCTGAGCTTTTACATTATGTTCTTTCAAGTACATTTATAAAAGTTTGGAAAACATTTAAAAGCAAGACAGAAATGTTAGTACATAATAATTTTGAGTGTTGTTTTTACATTGTAATACAGTGGTTATAATGGGATATGTTTTTTAACTAAAACTTTAAGAATTGGCCCTGCTAGTGTGGCTTGGTGATTGAGCCTCCACCTGTAAACCAGGAAGTCACAGTTTGATTCCCAGTTAGGGCACATGCCCAGGTTGTGGGCTTAAACCCCAATAGGCCGATCAATGATTCTCTTCATTGAAGTTTTTATCTCTCTCTCCCTCTCCCTTCCTCTCTGAAATCAATAAAAATATATTTTTTAAAAATTTAAGAATTGCATGTTTTGACAGATTGCACTTGGTTTAGGCAGATGTAGGTAGGACTTAACGGGCATGGAGATCATACATAAATGGATAAAACGTTTTTCTTCTTCCCTACTCCCCATCTAGTACATATACTTTGGTATTTTAAGTGTTTTATATTTACACTAGAGGCCCAGTGCATGAAATTCGTGCACTTGGGGGGGGAGTGGGGGTGGGGGAGAATCCCTCAGCCTGGCCTGCGCCCTCTCACAGTCCAGGAGCCCTCGGGGGATGTCTGACTTAGCACTGCCGCAGAAACAGGAGAGGCTCCTGCCACTGCTGCTGCGCTCGCCAGCCGTGAGCCCGACTTCTGGCTCTGAGTGGTGCTCCCCGCGGCGTTCCCCCTGTTGGAGCGCACTGACCACCAGGGGCAGCTCCTGCATTGAGTGTCTGCCCCCTGGTGGTTGGTGCACATCATAGTGACCGGTCATTCCACTGTTTGGCCAATTTGCATATTAGCCTTTTATTATATAGGATAGTTTCTTTATTTCTTGTGGTCTGTTTAATAGAGTTAATTTTCTGAGAAGTTTTTGGCTTATTTTTAGATTGGCCAAAGAAAAAATGATGTATGAAAAAGAAGCAAAACAACAAGAAGAAAAGATTGAAAAAATGAAAGCTGAAGATAGTGAAAATTATGCCCTTAAAAAGCAGGTAAGTCCTGCCAGTGTGGCTCAGTTGGCTGGGAGTCATCCCATGTACCTAAAGATTGTGGTTCGATTCCTGTCAGGGTACATGCCCAGATTGTGGGCTCAGTCCACAGTAGGGGGCATGCAGGAGGCAGCCGATCAATTATTCTCTCTCATCATTGATGTTTCTCTCTCTCTCTCCCTCTCCCTTCCTATCTGAAATCAATAAAAGTATTAAAAAAGAAAAGAAAAAGGCAAGAAAAATATTTTTTAAAAGCAGGTAAAATTATATCTTAATAATAGCTGCCCTAGCTGGTTTGGCTCAGTGGATAGAGTGTTGGCCTGTGGACTGAAGGGTCCTGGGTTCAGTTCCAGTTAAGGGCACATGCCTGGGTTGCGGGCTCAATCCCCAGTGAGGGGCATGCAGGAGGCAGCCAATCGATGATTCTCTCTCATCATTGATGTTTCTTTCTCTCTCTCCCTCTCTGAAATCAATAAAAAATATTTTAAAAAAATAGTAGCTAACATCTACAGAATACCACATTAACTAATTTATTAACACCCCTTTGAGAAGGTCCTATTATTTACTTCTTTACTATTAAAACCTCCATTTAAAAATGAAGAAACTGAACACAGGTCAAATAATTTGCCCAAGGTCACACAACTATTAAGTGGCATTTTGGACACTGGCTCTGGAACTTATACTCTTAACCATTAAGTTATTCTGCCTCTCCAATTTTAAGTATTAAATATAAAAATGACCTAATCTTATCTATCTATATATATAAAAGCCTAAGCAACCATTATGACTGAATGACCAGAATGACCAGTTGGCCAGTCACTGTGATGCACACTGACCACCATGGGGCAGACGCTCAATGCAGGAGCTGCCTCTGGTGGTCAGTGCGCTCCCACAGGGGGAGCACTGCTCAGTCAGAAGCCAGGCTCACGGCTGGCGAGCTCAGCTGCAGTGGCAGGAGCCTCTTCCAACTCTGCGGCAGCACTACCAAGCAGCGGCAGATGCAGCGAGCCCGGATGAGTACAAGTGGCGCAGTGCCTGACCCCGGCTTGGACTCCTCCCTGGCCGCCTGCTACTTGGTGCACTGCTACATCCCTCAGGGGATGTCCAACTATCAGTTTTGGCCTGATCCCCGTAGGCCAGGCAGTTGGATCCGGGCACGAAATCCATGCACCAGGCCTCTAGTATTAAATATATTTAAATTCACAAATATTTCCCCAAACTGATGTAAAGACCACCAAAATAAAATATACTTTACCTTTTTCAGTAGCTACTTTTGATTATCTTCATGACAGATTTTGGTCTTTTTAGCATTGCATACAAGGCTTTTCTTGATTTCAATACCTGCTTATCTCTACAACCTTATCTCTTGCCAATTCCTACCTGGACCTCTTAGTTTCTGCCTTTTAGTTTCCTGAACATGCTCTTTCTCCTTTAAGGCCTCTGAGATATTTGCACACATCTGGGCTGTTCTTCCTACTCCTTTTAGCTTCCCTCTCCTTATTAATTCCTATTCACCCTTTACACCTCCCCTACACTCCACCTCAGTGCTGAGTTGGGTGCCCCTCCTCTGTGCTCCCATAACATCTTATTTACTCCCATGATAGCATTTATTGACTATTCATTCTAGGCTAACAAAAAAAGAGGCTATCAGGGGAACTTCCTCATATTCCCACCACAAAATCTATCAACCTACCTACATCTGTACCCATAGCACCTTCTTTCATATTAGAGTGAATTGCATGCCCTAGCCCTGGTTACAGCCGTTATGACATTATTTCTTTCCCTTATGTAACCTCAACAGCATTTGACACAGTAACCACTCTCTCCTTGACACACACTTTTATATTGGCATCTTTAATAGAATAGTCTCCTGGTTTCCTTTCTATTACACTGCCAGTATTCCTCAGTTTCCTTTACTGAAACTCTTTTTCCTCTCTCCCTCCTCCTCCACTTATTTATCTACCCCACCTCTACACACACACACACATTTTATTAAACCTTTAAGATTTCTAAAATCCCTCTCTATGTAATTTCCTATAACTTTAAGTACCATCTTTATGCCCATTTATTTACTCATTCAACAGATATTTATTAATATATACAGTTCAGGTACTCTTTTAGTCATGAAGTTAAAAACAATAACACAACAAACAAAATCCCCCAAATCCCTAGTGCCAGTATCTCCCAAATTTATATCCCTGGGCCTGACCACTCCAGAGATACACATACACATACACATACACATACACATAGATATTCAACTAATTACCTGCTTCACATATCCTCGGGGTTGTCCAAAATAAAAATCTTGATCTTCCCTCAACCCAACCCATTCCCCTAAAACAGTGATTCTCAACCTGTGGGTCTCAACCCCTTTGGGGGTCGAACGACCCTTTCACAGGGGTCACCTAAGACCATCCTGCATATCAGATATTTACATTACGATTCATAACAGTAGCAAAATTACAGTTATGAAGTAGAAACGAAAATAATTTTATGGTTGGGGGTCACAACATGAGGAACTGTATTTAAAGGGCCAAAGGTTGAGAACCACTGTCCTAAAACAAAAAGCTATCTCCTCTCTTATTTTCCTCCTCTCTTGTAAATGGTTACTTCCACCCATCCAGATTCCCAAACTAAAAATTTAGTGGGTCCCTTCTTGATACGTCTCTTTCTTTCTAATAACCACATCTAGTAACATCAAGTCCTGTTTCTTATTCCCACTATCCTAGTCCAGTTCACTATCATCTGTTGCTTATACAATTGCAAAAGCCTCCTGGTTGGCATACCTGTCTCTTGACACCCTCTATTCCTTCCCTACCACAACACCCAGATTTATCTCTTCAAATTCACTTCTTTAAAATCCAAAGTCCAGTGCATAGAGAATAAAATCCAGATGACACTAGGTAAAAGGAAAGTATGAACAAATATATACAGATTAATCTCAAGATTTATATTTTAAATCAGCTTTATGAACGCTCAGTGGTTTTCACCCTATAAATTATGTTACAAATGGTTATAGTGCACAATTAATCCAGACTTAATTTTGCAAACGTCATCACTTAAAGTGGATTTTTCTATAGGTAGTTGCTTTTTGTGGTGCAAAACGAATGCAGTGGCCCCTGAAACATCTTCTTCCCCAAGGTTTTCAGGAAGAAAACCTTTTTATTTTCTTGAGTTTCTAGGAGAGCCTCCCTCCTCTGTGTGTGTATACAAAAGACGTTTGTGTGTCAGTTATTCATAAATTGGGGAGGATTTGAAAACGTTTAGATATAATATGTCCCAAATATGTTGATCTTGATGAACTAACAGCTCTTCAAATTCTATAAGTCTTCATAAGATTTACATATTAATAGAGCCACTCCTTTTTTTAATGTTTGCATGATATCTCTTTTTTCATCCTTTTCTTTTCAATCTGTCTATTTTGTTATGTTTGAAGTGAGTTTCTTGTAGACAGCAAAAAGTTGGATCCATTCTTTGAATGTCTGTCTTTTAGCTGGTGAATTTAGATGATTTATATTTAAAGTAATTAGTGTTCTTGTCAGGGTTTAAGAGAGCAGATTATTTTTGACTCATGGGATTCTTCTTACATCCATAACCATTCAGCAGTAATCACAAACATAAGTCAAATGAATTTCTTCTTGTTTGAGAGAAGGATTTTCCCAAAGTGAGCATTCCAAGAAGCCCATGTGGAAGCTGCAAGGCTTCTTAAGATCTAGCCTCTGGTCTTCAGTCCCAGAATCCCACCTCCATTACATTCCATTGGTCACATAGGGCTAACCCAAATTCAATGTGTGAGGTAACTGCATAAGGCAGAAATTCCAGGAAGTAAGGATCATTGTGGGCCACAATGGAGACTTGCTACCATGATAGAGTTGAAATCAGAGTTATGAGCAGACCCTATCATTTAGCTAATCACTCTGGGACTTGACTTTCTAATATGTAAATTGAGATTGAACTATATGACCACTTATGTCCCTTCTGACTCTGATTGTCCATCTGATTTTAAAAGAAATTGATCAGATTTTAGTTCAGTGTTTATTCATTGTTATAATCTGAGCCTTGCTAAGCCTCCCATAACTTTCATTTTATCTGAATAACTTCCGCAAAAAATTGTAATTTGTTTTAAAAGTAAGACATTAGTAGGACTGCATCCTGTTGTGTTCCCCAAAGGTTCCTTGTACCTCCCAATCTGTGTCAAGATCCTGACTTAACCCCAATCTTGTCATAGTCAGCATTAGAATAAACTGACAGTTTATTCAGATATTTTCAACAGAGGCACCATTCATTTGAGTGACTTCCTCCCAAAGGGAACACTTTGAAAGATAATACTCATTTAGCTTAGTGAAAGTATTTTGAGTATGTCTTTACTATATAATCACACCTTATATACTGTATTTTAAAATTATTTCTGACAGTTGTAATTCATTGTTATAAGGTAAAGTATATGATTTATGACCTTGGTAGAAATGTGGTTTATGGACTCCAAGTCATTGTCACCACTTTACTGGAAGCCTTTGGCTCCCTGTGGCATGTTCTTATAGAAGTAGTGTCAAATGTTTGTTTTTATGTTTATGCTCCTATCCTGGATTGGAAGATGGAGTCCTTCTCTTTTTCATCTTTGTATCCACTGTACCTGGTGTTCTACAGCTGTATAGGCTGCTTAATGAATGAATTGGAGCTGGTGTACAGGAAAGACTGAACTTTGTCCTCACATAGGTCAGACTCCCATTTTCATAAACTGTTTGATGATTCTTGCTCTGTGAGAATGGATAAAATAATGAGTAGAAGTTATTTTGGATAGCATTGTTTAAAGTTTATTTCAGCAATAATTTACTAAAGCTTTAACAAAGTTTACAAGTATACATTTTGGCTTATCATGTGTTTGACCTAATTCTTTCTATTTGTGTCATCTTGTTTAATTTCTATAAGCTATTCTCAAGGGAAGTCCATAGGAGAGGAAATATGAATGGCTTACCTAATGAAATGTGCCAGCCACTGATTTTTTTCACATGTATTCAAACCAGATAAAAATAATTGTGACAGCAATTAAATATCTAGGCATACTATGCTTAGCTGTGAAGTAAAGCCATGATTCTGCATTTGAAATTTTTAACCTGTACCTTATTAATAAAAGAATTACAAGTTCAGCAATAAATTTTCACCTGAAAAAATATGGACTGAGCATCCGTGTATATTATAATACTGAATTACTGAATTTTTTTATAGTATGAGCTATGACAAAACTGTTGGGGAAAGGGAGGAAGGTACTGGGACTTATTAAAGTTTCTGTTAAATATAGTATGATTGCCATTAAATTGTCTTTATTTTATATGAGCTAGGTAATAAAGCTTCTTAGTAAAAGTTCAGATTTTGTACCCATATAACCAAGTTATTTGGTCAAACATGAGTTTTTGTCCTTTTTTGTTGTTATTATTAATTCTTATCCACAGATATTTTCCCATTGATTTTTAGAGAGAGTGGGAGGTGGAGAGAGAGAGAAACATTGATGTGGGAGAGAGACATCGATTGGTTGCCTCCCTCATGCTCCGACTGGGGCTGGGGATCAAACCTGCAATACAGGTATATCTGCTTGACCAGAATAGAACCCATGACCCTTTGGTGTGCCGGCCAATGCTCTAACCACTGAGAAACACCAGCCAGGGCCAAACATGAATTTTTGGAAATAAATACTTAAAAGATCTGTGTCACTTTCTGAGAATAGTTTAAGGAAATATAGCTTCTTCCCCACCTTAGGTAAAAGACTTACTTGAGGTCCAACATCTGAAACTAACTTATTTACCCTCTTACTGATTGGGTTTCCCAGCCATTGATTTGATATTTTTTTATGATTTTATATGTTACCATCCAGATTTGAATGATTTGAAGTCCAGAAATATCTGCTGGGTTAAATATTCCTGTGTTTAATTCTGTAGTGTCTGTCTTCAGGAGGAATAGGCAGAAGTTCAGATTCAGAGGGGTGCCAGGTTGGTAATTTGGCTCAAACTACATGGGGAGAATAATCTGTCTCCTAAAATGAAGCCCAAGGATAAGTAATAACTTTTTATGCATGATAAGCATCAAAAATATGAACCTGCTGGTCTTTGCTTTTCATTTTTCTTTACCTCTGTCTTTCAGTGAGAACCTCCTGCAGTGTGCACACAATGTGATCAATAACTCAATAACTTTTTTCATGCAGTAATTATCTCCATGTGATATTATCTGAACACTGTTTTTCTTTATTACTCAAAAGATGCAGGAGATATTTATATAACCAGCTGATCCCATTTTGGATAAAGGTGCTTCGTGACAGCAGGAGAAATAGTTTATTTTAAATAGCCTTTTAAAATAAATGCTCTATGGAAAGCTTTTCTAGTTAATTTTCACTTAGCACAAAAAGGTGATTACCAAATAGGTTTAGATCTATAACTTGTATTTTATATATTTTACAGCATGATAGTCATTTTAACTTCTAATAAACACAATTTAAATTAAAATATTGAACTGTTTTACATATCCATAATTTTTTTTCTGATTCCTCTAAATCACTTTAGACATTTACAGAGGTGTTAGCTAAACACATACGTTCTATTATTTCTGCATGTCTCACAGATACTCTTATTATAGGCAGAGATCCTGCAAGAGTCCCGGATGATGATCCCAGATTGTCAGCGCAGGTTGGAAGCTGCATATACTGATCTTCTGCAGATATTAGTAAGTAAAGACTTCTCTGTCTTTTGTTTAAATTTTTTTTCAATTTAATATATAAAAGGCCAAAATTTTAAATATTTTTATGCTGAAAAATAGCTGGTGACATATTTTGTTCACTTACCTTGTGTACTAGTATATTTTAAAATAATTAATGGATTGTAAATTGTGTTTAAGTTATACCTCCAGTAAAACTACTATGTCTAGTATGTTTATTCTGCTTATTTAAACTTAAATAAATAATTTGAGTTAACATGTTAGGTATTCATGGTACTAATAATGTACCCCAGCATCTTGAATTATTTGGTTTTGATACATGAAGATCTTTTTTTTACACATTGTTTGAAATTTTAGAAGATCCAGATGTTTCAAATAAATTTGGCATAATAAAAAGGATCTGGAATTCTTTCAGATTGAAACCTTAATTAATATAAGTGGAAAACAAACCCTATAATATAGACAGTCCTCTCATAATAACTTGGAGGTGGATAACATTATTAAACTTGCTTTATAAATGCCTTGTGATACAGTGGTAGAGTCATTTTATAAAGAATTCTAAGAATAATTAAAAGTCATCTTATTCCCTTCCTAACACAGATTAAAGTATAATACTACATACAAGCCAGTTGTTACTATTGTTTAATAATAATTTGATGAATTCTAACATTTACTAATCTTATTTTATATTTATATTTCTTGAGCTAATATTAATTACTAGCTACACAGCTGTCTCCTGACTCATAGTTGTTCTCTGTATAACAAAAATAATGTATGGCTTTTTCAGGATGATCATATGTATTCTTTGAAAGAATGAGGTTTGTTTTCCCACCAAAATAGTATTAGGACTGAATCTGTAGAGAGAAAGGGCAATGTTCACATTTTACTTTAATTTTGACATAGAGCTCCATATTTACCTGTCGGAACCTTTTAAAGGCAGGATAACTTTCCTTAACAGCCAAAAATGAAGCTAAGATTTTGAAATAAAAGTAGATGAAAGCAGGAAATAATTACTCTATTAAAATACACCCAGAGACAGAAGCACCATCTGTATTTCCTAACAGTTTAAATGACATTTTTCTCTCCTGAATCTAGTAGCTGAGAAAGTAATAGAAAGTGCTTGAAAAAAATAGTTTTGTCTTTGGATGATGTATTCGTGGGTGTATTCAACAATATCTCTACCCTCAAAGAGCTTATATTTACTGAGAGAGAACAAAGACATGTTTAGATATAATAGAGGTTTAAGAAATTCTTAGCTATACTAGTAGTCTGAATTAAGAAATTTTTACTCCTTTTGCTTTGTTTTATATTAAATAAACACACACTTTACTCCCTCTGCTCTGTAACTTATATAGCTCCATCTTTTATTGACCTGACATGAATTACTGACCATAGCTTTATTTATTTATTAAAAACCAAGCAAAGTTTCCTATGCATAATAACTTATGTAATATTATTTCATTTATTTTTTACCAGTAAAAGTGTTCTGTATAAAGTATCAAGGAAAATTTCAGTCTTTATATATCAGAAAAGGAAAGATGTTAGTATTTTGTTTCCTTGTAGTAGGGTATATAATGCTCATTAATAAGCAGGCATTTCAGTTTTATAATTCAAAGATTGTACTTAACTTTGGTGTGACACCAGTAGTTTTCTTTGTCACTGTGAGTAGTTAGTTGAAGGGTTATTTTGTTTTAAATTTTATTGTATATGTAACACGTTAATAAATCATCATGTTTAACTTTTAGTCCATGACTAATAAAAAATCCCTTTTGTATTGTGATGTGTTGACAAGAATAAATTTTTAAAGTTTTTTTCTTAAATTTTTATTCACTTAATGTCAATAGCTTTACATGTTTTTCACTTATGATGTGAGAATACACAGTGAAACCAAACCAAACCTATTTCCATTGTTACCTGTAAGAAAAGCTTGGGATCCTTTTTCTTTTAATTTTTGAGCTGTTTACATTGATGGTTTGTAATATTTGAGTAAAAATAAAGTACTAAAGTTTTAAAAAGATAAACTTCCTTTCATTGTATTTCATTTCAGGAGAATGAAAAAGAATTGGAAGAAGCTGAGGAATATAAAGAAGCACGTTTAGTACTGGATTCAGTGAAGTTAGAGGTCTGACTTTTTTGTAGAGGGTGCTTTTTTGCAATTAATCCTGGGATTCATTCCACATTTTATTGGTTTTGACCACTGCTGTGTGTTCAAGTAGGATGAGAATGTGATTCTTTTTATGCAGTTGCATATATTTTTCTTTGCCTAATTTAATGTGTCCAATAAATGAATTCGTCTAATAAAATTGTTTATTTTATACTTTTTTACAAAATATTTTAATTAACCTTTCATTATTAAATCACAGACTTTTTTGACAAAATTAAAATTTGTTCGATTGCTTCATAAGCATGGCTTGAGTTAAAAACAGGTATCAATACCATTTTATTTTTTTAGACAAAAATCCAAAAAAAATTTTTTTGGAATTTTATTATTTTTATTCACTATTGTACCTATAACAATGCCTGGCATAGGGAAAAGAAGTAGAAATAATACATATTTGAAAAATAAATAATACATATTTGGTGAATAAATGCATGAACTAACAGTATTGAGTCCTGATTTTTTTCTACATAAAAATCTAAATTTTAACAGTTTATTCTGAATAGGGTATATCTCCCTAATAAGAAAAGAAGAACCTCTCTATGGATGAGGCCTCACGTATTTATGCCTTCAAAGCCTAACAGTTTCATTATTATAAACTAATGGGAAACATTTAAATTTTTTTTCCAGAAAGACAGATTTACACAGAAAACACCAACCATTCAAATAAGATTCCTATGAACAATAAAGAATTGAATTGTATTTTAAGGGAATAATAATTATTGTCCATTGGTTTGCTGGGAAATGTTTAATGGCTCTTCGAGTTGGGAGAGGAACCTCTCGGTTGTAGCTTTTGCTGATTTTTGTAGTATAAATTCCGCCACTGTGAGTGATTTTAAGCTATTAACATGACATCACTGAGCACAGAGTTGGGAAGATAGGAGCCAGCTCCAAAATACACTCTGGCCATAGCTAAACCTGGATTATTTTTGATTAATTGGAAAAGGGCATTGCTTTATCACAGGGTATTTTTTTTTTCAGTACAATTATAAGTCTGTTACCTAACCGTGGGAGTTTATTTTCTAAAAATATATGACAACTCATTTAGTTTTCTTCTATTTTTAGAAAATGTGTATGAGCTTATATCACCAGCCTCACATGAGCAGTGATCTAATGAACCAAAATAGTAATAATAGCATTTAAACTTTAAAACTAATAATTGAAAAGATAATAAACTTTGAATTTTTGCAGCTATAAAATACATAATTAGAATATGGTTGGTCTGATTTTGGAAGTTGCAAATGATCACTAGAAATCAAAGCATGTACTGGATATGTCAAAAAGATTAGAGAAGGGGAAAATAATACTGTTCTTTCCTAATGTTATTTATAAAGGCTACCCTTGTTTTAAAACACAGAATGTAACATTTATAAAATCTTTATATGTGCACAAAATTACTTCATCAGAGAATAACATCATAAGAAGCATTTCTAAATTGATGTCATCATCTTAAAACATTATATGCCATTTTAAAAGTACTTGAGTAGGGGATAAGAGTGAGGAAATAAAAACGATAATTACAATATAAAATTTTATACTAATGTTCAATTTTAGAGATTTTAGTACTAGGAGACTTGAAAATATTTTGTAAATGGAATTATTAATCACCAGGACAGGTTGGCTTTTTTTTTGTATACTTAGTTCTCCAAATAGGATATCATTTAAAGAAAGCATTTGCATGTGTTTTGTTTTTTTAATGAAATGTAAAACATTTCATTTCAATCTTTTGCTAAATATATAAATATTGTATGTGTTCATAGCAAATGGTTAACTGACCGACCAATTAAAGCTTTAAGAGAACATATCATTGGATATGGATATAGATAACCCTAAAAATAAGAGAAAAATAATATTGAAAGAAGTTTTATAGCCAGGGCCTGAATCTTGTTTAATGGGAAAAATTATTTTCTTGCCAAAAAGAAAGAAAGATTAAAAAAAACGTGTGTGTGTGTGTGCGTGTGTGTGTGTGTGTATCTTTAGACAATTCCTATCTCAACTATAGATTTTATACTGGATCTCTCTTCAGGTACTGATGAGAAGCAGCACAAAGCTTACCATTCTGTGAAGGATTATTCCTGGGAATTTCTGACACATTCTGCTTACATTTTTATGGCCAAGAGGCACATTAAATTAAGAACAGTTGTAAGTAATTCAGCATTAACTTGTTTTTAAGCTTTTTTTAAAATCCTAGACCTGAGTAACAGTAGGTAGAAATTTCCAAAAGTAATGTTGCCTTTTCTCCCTGCTGCCAACACCTGACTCCCAACCAACATATAGCAGTTGCTAAATAAATATTTGTAGAATAAGCGAAAAGCAAGAACATCTCTAACTTCTGGAGTGAGAGAAAGAATGCTATGAAGGATTCCATCACATCCCAAACATAATACAGAGCTTTTCAAACTGTTTAGATCACAAACTTCACTAAGAAACATTTTCTATTGTGACTCAATACATACACGCAGGGTCTATATATACATAAAACAAGGAGTATCTTAATATGTACAATTTCTCAGATGTTTTTATTCTGTTCCTTTTTTTAAATAGTCATCATAACCACCTGCTGTTGGGTTGTGAAAAACACTACCCTGATACAATAATATATAAAAAGATGATTTTTGTAAAAATTCCATCTATAAAACTTCTAAGCTGTCAGAGTAGTTGTGTAAGTGAATGTGCACAAAGTTTTACACATTGTTGCCATAGTGTCATGGTAAAGTATAATCACTTACCATTTGTTAGGTGTCCTTAGTCCTTGCACAGATAATACAATGGCTTCCGTAGAATAGATAGGCAAAACAAAGACATACAAGTGATAGAACCAAGTAGTAAGCCCAACTTTTTTCTATAGTTTTTTGTACAGCAAAGGGCACATCATTTCTAAGAAAGTTTATAGATAAATAGAAATAGAACGTGTGGAATGTGTAAAGTCACCAAATCTAGACTAGTTTTAATGCTATTAAGTTCTAGAATTTCACTTGCACATTCTTGGCTAAAGGGGATTCAGTTCTAGTAAATCAAAGTACTTCCCCAAAGGCCTGGACAGCAGCTTTCCAGCTGGGCTTTTAGGACATTTGCATTCTGGAGAGGTATCAACATCCTAAGAACTAGGTTATTTATCCTTATTCCTATTTTGTTCCAGGTGGATAAGTATGTAAAAAGTTCCTTGGGAAGGAATGGGATGAGTAATGAAAGATGGTTAAAACATTATATCATAACTAGAGGCCCAGTACGTGGAATTCGTGCATGAGTAGGTTCCCTAGCGGCTATTGGCTGGGGCCTCCCTTCCCCAGCTGCCAGCGAGGCCTTCCTTCATTCCATGCCACCCCCTGGTGGCCAGCGTATGTCATAGTGAGCGCTCCAACTCCCAGTAGGTCGAACTCCCAAGGAGACACTTTGCATATTAGGCTTTTGTATATGTATACTAGAGGCCCAGCATGCGAAATCGCGCAAGACCCAGACCTGCTGCGCTGGCGGGACTGAGACTTGCCATGCTGCGAGACCCATCAATGCACCTCCTGGTGACCAGTCGTTTGGTCGTTACAGCGTTATGGCCACTGGCCTTTTATAATATAGACTAGAGGCCCAGTGCATGAAAATTCATGCACTCAGGGGTGGGGTGGTTCCTTAGCCGGGTCTGTGCCCTCTTGCAGTCCAGAAGCCCTCGGACATCCTTAGCGCTGTCATGGAGGCGGGAGAAGCTCCCGCCACTGCCGCTGCACTCACCAGCCATCAACCAGCTTCTAGCTGAGCAGTGCTCCCCCTATGGCAGCTCACTGACCACCAGGGGCAGCTCCTGCATTGAGCGTCTGTCCCCTGTTGGTCAGTGCACGTCATAGCGACCTGTCGTTCCGCCGTTTGGTCGATTTGCATATTACACTTATATAGGTTGTTCATTTAACATTTCTCGACTGTCTGGTCAGGAACTTTCTGGTTAAAGCCTAATATTTAAAAATTGTCTCTATGCTTATACCTGTATATTGAATCACTTCCAAATTGAGCAGTCAAACCTGGTTAATCCAAATTACTTTGCAAACTTCATTACATTACTTGGCTTTTTAAAAATTCTATCAAATTTAATAAGGACATATTCTACAGCTGGTTATCTTAAATCTTATTATTTGGTCATTTAGATAAACCAAGGACAGATTAATCCTTTGATGGCAAGTCAAGGCTTTAAATGTCAGTATAAACTTGACACGCATGTGAGCAAGAGCTGCTAAGCATTTGGCATGAAAGGGTTAATCAGATAATTTAGTCCTTGATAATCTTTTGAGTGCTTTAGTTGGAAAGAAATTGAATGCTTTAGAAATGGTGCATTATGAAACAAGTTACAAGTATTAGTGTACTTGAAATTTTCAAGAGTGCTTTATATAAATCTACATTGCACTTCACTGTTAGTCTTAATGCTCTTGTAGTATGAGAGGTATTTGTTCATATGTTGGACTGTTGCACAGAAAGGTAAAATTAATTTGTGTTACAGTAGATCTGCACCTTTGTTTTGTGCTTTCTGTTGACTGCTGGATAGTTGACAAGGTACTATCATGTCACAAGAGGTTAATATTTTTAATGCACAAAGAGCCCTTTCAAATTAATCAGAAAAAAATCCCCACTATATAAAAAAATAGAGAAAGCATAGAAATACACAATTCATAAATGAAGAAATGCAAATGGGTAGTTTTTTTAATGTTTCACCTCAATAGTAATCAAATTCAAACTTCAAAAAACGCAAAATTTTTATTTTTTAATTTATTGATTTGAGAGAGCGAAACATCAATCTGTTCTACCCTATTATGCATTCATTGGTTGATTTTGCATGTGCCCTTAATGGGGATTATACCCACAACCTTGGCATATCAGGATGATGCTCCAAGCAACTGAGCTATCTGACCAGGGCATGAAGCAAAACTTTTAAAGATGAGTACCTGTTGGCTATGTGATAAGGTACTGATCAATGAAATTAAAGGATAAAAATGAAAATATTGGAAAAGGTATTATTTTCATGTGCAGTTGATAAGATATATATCAGGAAAACACGAGTCTGTCATCCTTACAATGATTAGAAGCAATGAGGAAATTAAAGTGGGTACTTGCAAAATGAATATATAGAATTGTTATGGGTTGAATTATGTCCCACCAAAAGATGTGTTGAAATCCCCACCCCCACTACCTCAGAATATGACCTTATTTGGAAATAGGGTCCTTGCAGATATTGGTTAAGATGAGGTCTTGCTAGAGTAAGGTAGGCCCCTAATCTGATATGACTGATATCCTAATAAGACAGTGTGAGGATATGGAGAAGGCCATATGACAACAGGCAAGATTGGTATTATACGGCTGCAAATCAAGGGACACCAAGGTGACACTGGGAGGAACAGATTCTCACTTAGATCTCTTGAGAAAGAGATAATGGCTGTCAAAACCTAAATTTTGGACTTCCAGCCTCTAAGACTGTGAGACAATAAATTTCTGCTTTTTTAAGCCACTTAGTTTGAGTTGAAGTGATAGAAATACATAGAATCCAAAAGCTTTTCTATATGCCAGCAATAACCAAATATAATGGGAAAATACAGACAGTCCTTGGGTTCCGTCAGACTCGACGAACATCGTTTCGTGGTTGCCTCGCCATCTCCCATTTATTTATAAAAAAAAAAAAGTTCCATCATTCCGATGTATGTACATATGTGCTTTATGTTTTTTTATTATTTATTTACCACAAGTAAAGGTCAGGAATTGTTATCTTTCTTTTGTATTTTCTTTACTGTTTCACTTCATTACTGCTGTGTATGTGCTCCATGTGAGTGATGTAGGTGCTTATGTAGGGGGGTTCTGACTTAGGCGAAAATCGTATTACATCTCACTGTAGCAACAGATCTCCGATGCAACCCAAGGACCTGCTGTAAACTGCTACTGTGAGTCATAGAAGACATTTTAAAAAATGACTTGTACTATTTATGGAAAGTTAATATTGTCAAAATGTGGTTTCTCCCTATGTCAATCTGTAAATTCAATAAAATAGAGACAAGGTTTGGAGAGAGGAGAGGGAATTTTAGAAAATTATTCTCAAATCCAGTTAGAAAAATGTTTTTAAACAGGTAATAATGGCTGGAAAGGACATATGAAAAACTATAGTGATGAAGGGTAACTAGCTTTGCTCACTTAAAACTGTCAAGTTGCAATAATTAAACTATGGTAAAAGAATAGAAGACCAAAGAGAATAGAGCCCAGAAAGCAAACACAAATATGTATCTGGAAATTTAGTATATGATAAGATTATTTCAGACCCCTGTAGATTAATAAATCACTTTGGGATAACTGGCTAACCATTTGGGGGCGGGAGGGAGTAAAGCTGGATCTCTTTCACCTCTCACACCAAAATAAATTTCAGCTGAGTAAAAAAACTTCAATATAAAAAGAAAAAGCTAGAAGAAAAACATTGATGAAACTAATTAACAAAGAATTTTAAATTGATATTATGAAGTGAGAGTATAGGGAAATAGGAAATCTAAGACACAGTGAGAACATTTCAGAGCTGGCAATTCTCCACAAATTAATATATCAGTGTAATGCCACAATTATCAAAATTATAGACATAGAGAAAAATAAATGAAGAGAAAATCTTGAAAATGGAGAATTGATAAGGAGAAGAGGGGATAAATGTTGGAGGTAAGACAGTTGGATAGTGAAACTTAAAACTACTGAATTTAAACCAGCATAAGCGTAAATTATCAGTCAATATAATAGAAAACCCAAAACAGCCCAAAGTATTTATCAATTAAGTATCTGATAGAAGTGGCATTTCAAGTTAGTGGTAAAGAATGGATAATAAATAAATGGAATTAGGAAAGTCATTTATCTATTGAGAAAAAATAAAATAGAGTTCAGTTTCTCTAGAGAATAAACCTCTTTCTTGGCAAAGTAGAGGTAGTGAACCCACTGAGCGTTGGAATAGGAATAAGGATGTAAATCATCCAACTCTTAGATCCTACAACATGCTGTAGGGCAAAGGGCCTCACTTCTCCTCTTAGATGCCTCTATAAATACTTATATTATCCTTTGTTCTGCCAAGTCAGTTACTACTATTCTTTCTACTTTTCATTTTTAGAAATTGCTTTTACATCTTTCATCTACTGTTATCTCCT